TAGCGTCGAAAATATTATTATCATTATTATTTTATTATATAGTCGCCGGAGACCATTGCTATATAACACCCTAAACGACACTGTTGTATTCCTAACACGATGAAATATATTATGCCGATCGTCATTAGAGCAGTATGTGTGGTGTACTCTCACTCCCGTCCGACATGCGTTGACCCCATTTATATTTGTTGTCTATATATGCGCAGTAGGGCGAGGGTCGCCGACGACCGTTTGGACGGGATTGTGTTTTTCCCTTCGTTTCAAAGCCACGCGATGCCGTAAATTCTTATCTCATCGCTCGATTTTATCGATTATTTATATGTCACATACTTGCATTCAACACATATTTTGAGTACCTACTCTAACTCCGTGGTTTCGAACGCTTATTGTGATCCCACTCTCTAYCTCTGCAACTATGAACGAAACGATGTGTGTGTGTATGCCAGAAAACTTGCCTCGATAATTGCACATATTTTTTTATTTTGTTGAGAAGGTAGGTCAATTTGAGGGCACATATCCATTATTTCTGTTTCAATTAAGTATAGGAGTATATAGAAATAATCGATTTATTATTTATTATACGGCCGCATCTCCTCATCCAACCCCAGACCAGCTGCAGCGCTACATACATATATCTATATGTTGCTACGTCGATAATTATTAATTACACATCTATAAAGTATAATGGTACGAAGGTAATGTACAAAACACGTGTTACGGCAATAAATCATATGCCATACTAGAGCTGTCTTTTTCGGTGCACGAGGTCTCGTGATTTTTACTTAGATTTGGGGAGGGTTGGTGTTCGAAAAAAAAAATGGGAAGATTGGTTTCAAAAATTATGGTATGTTTCATATAGAGAAATAACGTAGAGACACATTTTCCATTAAATATGTAACAATAGTAATGCAATAACTGTCATGGTCTGCAAATATTATAATTATGACGATAGGGCAAATATGATTGGACAAAACCAAGGAGTACATCGTTCGTGATACTTTTAGAAAACCCTATATGTAGAGCTTTGATATTTCCACTCAATGTCTTTAATTTTGCGCCTTGCAAGATATTTATTATGTGATTCTACCMGCCATTCGAGTGATAACCATGTATATAATTAAAAAAAGTTTTCACATTTTTCGAAAAATATAGTATGTTCCTGAGGCATCTTCGGGTTTTGAATTTTGAATTATGACGGGATTTGTCTTTTTCCAAATAAGAAGTAGTTTTTGTGCAAAACAATACTAAGATAATCGAGCAAACAAAAAAAACAAACGGTTTAAATGAACCAAAAATGCAGTTAATAAATTTAAAAACTAAGACATTTTTAAGTAACCAAAAAGTAAAATAAWTTTTAATCTGCCTAATATTTATTTATTTTTTAACATGTATTAATTTGCTATTGAATATCGTAAAATTGTATTTAAAAAAAAGTCCGGTTAATAATATTACTAATAAACCATGTAGGTAATTTTATTTTTGTTTTAATGTTTATTTGTTAAAAAACATTTTAATAACTATTATATTATTTTGGTTAAGCCTCAAACATAACCATTATTTATTGTCAATTCTTTACTGGAGGAAAATGGCCAGGATTTATTTTTTGTTACTGAAAATTGGGCAGTGGAGGAAAATGGTTACGACCAAATTAAACTGACTTGAAAATGTTTCGAGTTATATACCTTTTTCACATATCAACACTCATCAGGACGAGAAAAAAATTCCAGTCATCGTTACTCGAATGTAATGTAATATTATACGTATATACAATTGAATACGTCGATGTTCCTATACGTGAATACCGCGAGTGTGCGACGGGAATTCTTGTATTCAACAACTATATACCTGCTAACTACCTACACTACTTATCGCGTGATATTGTTAAAGGTAGGTAGTTACCCCAATTATTTGCTTTTCCCCCCATTGTCGCATTTTGTCCGCTCGACGAACCTGTAGAAACATGTCAGAACGTGCTCATTTCGGGTGCTTAATGAGGCGCCAACGTTCAAACTGTACACACAATCGCATCCACCGTTAACYGATTTCACCGTATATTATTTGTAATTCGAGACAAAAAACTACCATCCGCCGTCCAAGTAAAACGAG